CAACGCCTCACCTATTGTTTGGTGCAGGTCCCTTTTGGGGCATTGTAATCGACGAAAGTGTTGAGTTTCTTTTTGTTAATTGTGTATGTGCACCACTGCCAAAGCAACATCACCAAATTATTCGTTTTAACGCTAGAGCGGTGTCGTTTTGTTTCCTGATATATAGTGTATAGCTATATATTTAGATGTTTACATTTATAAATAGTTTATTATTACAAACCGCGTTTAATTCAATTAAATTGTGAAGCACACTTTACTGCCGATCTTTTAACGTGTTGTACTGAAATGGGTCCGCGTGGCTGTTTTGTCCTCACCAAGTTAAACTTCATCAGCTGTCATCGTCAAGACTGCCAATTACACCACCACCATCATCATCATCACGTGAGCACTTCCAATGAGCTGCGTTCACTCACTTGCTTTGGTAGTACCCGGGGCGATAATGTCAATTATCGAACAAAAAAACACAATGAGCATTCCAAGTAATTACTTAACATTCTATAATCAGGATCCTCTTAAATAAAACTGTCAATATGAAGCGTAGTATTGATAATTTAAATGTACACATGTAGAAAAGCCATACAAATCATTTGTTTCCCTATAAATATTCTTTGAGCTTTGAGCTAGAATAAACCGAAAGCCAAAATGTTCGAATTTGGGTCCCAGAAATTATTCCTCGAAGATTGTTTGGGTTCACCCACAGGGCAGTCAGCCTGGCTATCCCTGTAAAAGAGCTGTTAAGCTTAGTGAGCCTTACAGCTGAAATCAAGCATGAGTCTAAAGTTCTAAATCGCTCCAAGTCTCATGCGAAAGGTTTGTAAAAAAAAAATCGTTTTATTTGTATATTTTTAAAAGTGATTGTTGACCTTTCCTAGAGGCAAGTAAAATCAGCTTTATTGATCACATACCCATGCATACATGAGGTACATGGCAGTGAGATTCTTTGTTCCCTGTCGCTCTCTCTCATCTTGTGCAAATTAACAACAACAACAACAATGTAAACAGCGGCAACAATATTTCAAACTTTGCACTCCTATCGTGTTGTCGTACTGTTTGTTGGTGTAACGTTCTGACCCATCCCTACTGGGCATCTGTAAAAAAAGAGAGCTGCATAGCTCATTAAATTCCTCCAGTATAACTGAACATATTCTGATTCTGGATGAAATAACCCTTTTGTGAAGAAGCCCTGGGAGACAACAGTGATATCAGGACTGTGCATACAGCTGTGAATAATGTGTCGATAACCACATTGGGAACATTTAAATCATGCATACGAATACATCGAGAAAGTAACCCAAGATGTGGTGACGCCATAACCTTTATAGCAACAACACACATGATAGACATTTTGCACATCATATACAACGCTATAGATTCCCAAAAAGACAACGGTTTGATTATCGGGAATTGACCGGAGGCTTCAGCACAACGGGCGGTGCTAAAGACTGCACAGAGAGAGAGAGAGAGGCAAGGCAGGGGCACATGAATAAATACGCCCGTCTCTGATATTATAACTCTAAACTATTTATATTATTTTACCAGGTAAGACCCACTGAGGTATATAGCTCTTTTTCAGAAGCTACCTGGCCACAAATGATAGCTCAACGAAGTGGCTTTTTACGTGGAAATTTATAGCCGCCAAATACCCTAAACGCGTGTTGATTCCAAAATGTGGAGGGAAAACATAGGAGGTCCAGGAGAAAAATCCACGTGACCACGGGAAGAAGAGACACGCAAACTTCAAATATACAGCAGGCGTCAGGGTCGCGATCGAACCCACGACCTCCTGTATACCTGGCGAGGGAGTTAACATCTCCTAGTCACCGTGATGATGATGAGAGAGACGCAAACGTATAATTCTCAGCAGGCGTCAGGGTCGGGATCGAACCCACGACCTCCTCCCGTGTACCGGAACGGGATTTATCCCTTTTCGGCCGCCTCGGTTGCTATCTCTTGCTCAAACAAAAACAAGCGACGACCTGAAATGACGTCAGTGCCGATCTATAAAAGGTCGTGCGCGCTCCAAGGCGGGGGTTTGCGTGGCAGAGAAGAGGGAGAGAGATGAGAGGGAGAGAGAGACGGAGAGAGCGGGAACGGGTTTTAAAGAAAAACCCCACCCTCCGAAGGGAGAGAGATTTGTTGCTTCTAGAAGCTGGGCCATTCATTGATTGAAAGCGAGCCACGGTGCCGTTGACACGGGGCACAAAGCGACCCGGTCATTAGCATTCACTGCGTGTGAGCCGCCTTCCCCTGGCCGTGGCTCGGACCCCGCTAAAGATGGGGATTGCGTGTGTGTACGTGTGTGTGTGTGTGCGTGCGTGTGTGTGCGTGCGTGCATGTGCGTGCGTGTGTGTGTGAGCCTCCGGGGCGTGGGAGTGAGTGAGTGCGCATCACCGTGTAGCGAGCAAAAAGGCAATGCGCGTTAATACAAAGACAAAGGTGCTCCCCCCCCCCCGTATAGCCTTTTACACGCTGTTCGGGCAAGTGCTGTTAGCGTGCACCTCTGAAGGCCGGGACTAGGGCACGAGGGGTTGTATGGTCAACACCACGCTCGCCCCCCTTTGTCTCCCCAGTGCTGATGTTCACACTCCGCATTAGGTACTCGTTTAACGCTGAGTAGACCTAGGGGAGGTTCGTTTTTTGGTCGTGAGCTCAGGAATCGAACTCGGGATTCCCGGTTCGTAGCGCAGTGCGCTACCAACTGCGCCACCGCCCCCCGAATTTACACACACAAGTACGTATATTCTTTGGGTCTTTCGGTAAAGTCACGTGGATGGTTCCAAGAAAAATAACCAAAAACTAGGACGTTTCGATCACAGCACGAGCGCTTGTGTTGTGATCGAAACGTCGTAGTGTTTTGTGTTCTTTTCTTTGAACCATCTACGTGATTTTACCGAAAGACCCAAAGAATATGAATTCCTGCAGTCACGAAAGCTAATAAGTTAACAAGTACGTATGTATGCTTATACAGTCACAATCTCACGTATATTATACACATACGCAGGGATTAACATTTCCCTTTCGATATATCACCCGAAACGTAGCTAGGCTGGCTTGGAGTTAGGATTATTGGCGTCGAGTTGGGTTTGTAGGTGGAGACAGCACCCGCTGAGCAATTACAGACGTGTGCAGTTGTTGGAGTGGTGGCGCAATGGTTAATCGCATCGCGCTATGAAGATTCCAGGTCTCGGCTGACATGGGTGGAGCGTCATATCCTGCCCCTTCCCCCCACCCCCCTATAACTCCCTCATCAACCACTGTGGCGATGTATAGGGCCATCCATTTATTACGTACGCATGGAGAGGGGAGGGGAGGGGGGGTTAACCCAAATGCGTACGCCTGTGTATGGGGGGGGTCTACTAACAATGTACGCATAGGAAACGGGGAGGGGGGGGGGTGAAGCCTCGATAATAATTTGTCTACATTGGCCCGCAACTGAGTTAGATAGTCCGGCGGTGGACTATTTGCTTAAACACGTTAAATGATTAATCCTTGATCGGTTTTTTCTGCGTGGATTAAATATCATCCGTTCTATAGGATTTGCGGGGGGGGGGGGGGGTGGTAAAAAGTCCGCGTGTGTACAGGGAGGGGGGGGAGGGGTCAAGTTTTGAGAGATTTTTTTGCGTACGAACTAAATGGATGGGCCCCATCGTAAGACAATCCCCACAATCGTCACGGCGTGGCATGGGGGAAGATGTCGTCCAGTCGACTGACGATGTAGCTGTACATTTTTTTTAATTATTATTCATTACATTGCAGCGATGGAATGGTAGTCTCCAGCATTGAGATTTAATTAACGGATTGTGTTATACCGTAATTGAAGTTTCCAGGAACATATAACTCAGTCTCATCTGTAAGATTGACCTGGGTCAGCACGATGACCAATAACCCCAAACACACAACTAAAACGGCATCTCATAGGGCAATGCAAATATTCCATCCAAATCGTACATTATATACCGCGCGGTATGTGCAAATGTGCGGATGCAGCCCTGCGACTGCTTGCTCACGCCACTGCTGGCAAAAGGAGCCTCCACTATAAGTAGCGTTAGAGATCCTCCGTCGGAGGTATGTGTGCCTACTCTTCCACCTTTATGTTGTATATGTACGTATACGTATTGGCCATTGCAGTGTTGCTGAATGCACATTTCTTATCCACACCTATAATCAATCCGCAACGGTATAATATACTATATTAATATATGGCTCCACGTGTATACATTATTGATTCAATCCACCTATCACACAGGTCTGGGAGGAGATACAACCATGTATGTAGTACTGTAGTACGATAAACTATAATGCAAAGGTTAATTTCTCTCCAATTGAATTATCCATTTACAATGCTGAATGAGTGATTGAGGATTATGCTGGGTAAGTTTTTATTGCTACAGTACTAATAGTAGCATTACATATTGATTTTTTTTCCAGTACATTATTTTGATAATAAATATACCACACAATTTTAAACGACGGTGGGCAATGATTTGCAATCGTGGTCAAATAATAAACACGTAGACTAATAATGAAGGTTTAGACCGCTTTAGAAAGTTTATGTACAGTCTATGTGGAAGGTTCTCCAGTTCCGAATGCGAGATCTGATCTGGATCTCTTGTGTAAGGATTAATGGGTGGGGGGTGTAGCAAGTGAGACTAGCATTGCGATTGACGCCTCCACGAATGGCGACGGTGAATACAGCGGCCTCTAGCGGCTGCGGGAGACCACGCCAAAACAACATTCCCGTGGGTCGCATGCAACACGTACGATTTGGGGGGGGGGGGGGGGGCGAGCGCGCCTCCCTCTTCAGCGGCGATTTGCTTGCGTCTAGCGAAGCGTGGAGGCACCGAAGGGGATGTGGGGGGGGGTTAACCCCCCCCCACCTCCCACCCACCCCCCCCCCCCCCCGTTTTACCCTCAAACGGCACCCGTCTCGCGGGCTTGGGATCAGCCCGTAGGTAAATCATTGGCGCGCCTACCCCCCCCCCCCCCCGCTATATAAAGGCGCAATCAGGGCTGAGCGAAGGGGTTGGGATGGGCTTTGTGCTCATGGAGCGGCCGCTTGAACGGAGGGCGATGAGACATCCCAGCGCGCGCCGGTCCTCCACTCGAAGCTTCGTCACACGCCGCTAAAAGCGAGCCGAGGCGGCTGTCAAAAAAAATAACACTCAGAAAACACAACAACAACAACTACAGCAGAAAAAGAAAGAGCCTGTCCCACGGCTTGCGCGCATTGCCTGCGGGGGAGCGACACTAAACGGCTCCGTTATTCGCTGGAGGAAGCAGCGACGCGCGGTCCAAGTTACTTAACGCGCAAACTCGGCTGCCGGGGTGGGGAGGAGGAGGAGGTGGTGGTGGGATATTGGCGGCGCAGGCGTGCGTCTGTGCGCGGGTGATTGCGTGGGGAGGGTCCCACCACCACCATCATCACCGCCGCCGCCGTCGCCGTCATTCGTCATCATTTCCTGGTCGGCTGTGGATCATGCCTGTGGAGACGACTTTTATAAACCCATTTTTTTTCTACCCCGAGTTTTCGCACCAAGACGCGAGCCGCGGGGACGTGGGAGGGTCGTGGCCCGAGGGCTCGCCCGAGATTTACGCCGAGTACTCGGAGCTGGCCGACACGAGCGACCTGTTGAGCTTCGTCAACACGGCCTCGAGCAACATCAAACTTGCCCTCGACAAACCGGCCAAGTCCAAGCGGAAAGTGAACCACAGGAAGTACCTGCAGAAGCAAATCAAGCGCTGCTCCCAACTCACTACGGTGCCCGTGACACCCCCACATCATCATAATCATCATCCTCCTCCGCTACCACCACCGCCGGCCGTTCCTCCATCTCCTCTTCAAGCCACCACCGAGCACCAACGAAGCAGAGGACTCCTCTGCCTGGAAGACGACGATGACGATCACCTGGATCGGGTGTATGTGGCCAGCGAAGGGGCTGGACTGGCGTCGCTCGGCAAGGCCCTGCAGGGACACGCGGCTCAGTTCCGAAAAATCTCCGCCAAGTCCCCGAACGACAAGAGGCCCAGACTGTCTCGCTCCGTGGCGCGGGGCAGGCAGCTGCCCCTGAGGGACCGCAATCTGCCCGCGTCCTTCTTCACCGAGCCAGCGGCGCTTGTTACCCACCTCGACCAACTTGAGCATCATCACCACCACCATCAACAACAGCAGCAGCAGCAGCACCAGGCCGATGTGCGGTCATCGTGGGAGGCCGAGGACGGTGGCGTTTGGGACGCGGGCGAATTTGCACATAATCAACACCAACAGCACGACCATCAGCAGCATGGCATGCACACACCAGATTTCTTCGCAGAACAGCAAAGCAAGCTGAACCCCGAAGTCGCCACAGCCGCCTCGATGCAGCCCATGAACTTGGGTCCGCCTTGCCAGGAGACGCACGGCTCGCTGCACGAGATGAGGACTTGGGAGCTCACGCTGGCCTCAATGCCCAGCGCGCACGGGATGTACAGAATGGACGGACACTCGGAGCTGGTCGAGAGCGCCCTGTGGACGGAGGCGCCACTGGCAGAGGCGACCCCGACCGCGGCCCTGCTGAGCTGGAGCAGGGCAGGCGCGTACCCGCCTTTCTGCTGCTCCCAATGCCACGAATCTCCAGAGTTCTGCATCCATCAAGCGGTTTGAGACCCGCGCCGCGCACTGTTCTGCCCACGTGAAGGGCGCCGTGGCACTGTTATATCGGCGTGGCAGAGCCGGTGGTGGTGATGTGTGTGTACAGGACAGCTTATAGCGATCAATCGGCAGCGTTCCAGCGGCAAGCACATTTTTGGGAGGGGAATGTTTTATTGAAAGTACATTTTGCGCGTGTTCATTAGGGGGCCGTTATAACACGGCCCCGTATAGACACGCACAGATACATTATTGTACGTGAACTGTAACATAAGCACAAAGTTGTGACCAATTATATGGTAACGGAATTGAAACACAAAGTGCACAGTAGAGGGTTATTCAAGAGCTCGTTTCGGTGCAATGAAATCCAACTGCAGTGCATTGTAATGTCATCGGCGAACAATTTATATCAACATTTTCAACCACAGGTATGATCTGACGATACGTGAACTTCATGGAACTTCATTGCCAAAGGTTGTATTCATCTGCTCTGAAGGAGGGACGTTGACGAACGCCAGTTTCCCCGACACGAAGCCGATCTTGACTGACCGATGAACATTGTAATAATGATCTAGCAGAGCTGTAAAGCTCTGAAGTTTGGCACGACTTTGAGTATATAAGTGTACTCGTACATAGAATTAACCGAAAACAATGTGGGAATGTTGGTCTCCACACTTGCAAGGGGTCGGGGTAGAAATGTAACCACTTTAGTTTTGAAACCCGGCCTACGAAAGGTATCTCGATTATTTCAAGAAATGCAGAGTTCAAATATCAATTACAATTTTATGTTGATTCAATTTTTGGACACTTTTTCGTGAGTAGAACGCTTAAAACGTAAAATAAAGACAAATATTGTAACTTGTTACGGGTAACTATCCCTCCGTTACCCAACACTACGATTGCCACAATTGTGAAAGTGTTTTTCAACCGATGCGTTGTGTTTGCAATTCCGTTATCAATGTGCAATTACGTATTTTTCTGATGTTAATATCGTGGCAGCTATGGACTATGCCGAGTTAAACTACGTATCATCCGCATGTTATCTTACATCCAATACAGACCCACGCTGATGTTCAGAGTCCAGACCGCAGGAAGACGTTTTGATTTGCCAGGGCAAACAAATCAGCCAATTGCCACACTGTTTGTTTTCTTAGCCACTGGCATAAGAAAAAAATATTATAAATTTAATGACAAAATGTTATATTCTTAGAGAGCGCACATTAATGTATTTTCTGTGTGTTGTGAAGACTGTCGTGAAATATAATCTCTGCCACCTAGATCTATAACTGTCAAATATAGATCCAATCGTTACAGTTGTGGAGGGAGTTCCCATAACATCATCACCGCGCTTGATTACCCCGGCAAGGCTCACAGAGTCCCCGTGTGACTCCTTTTCAGGAGAGTCCTGCCAAGCTTTCGCAGTAGCAGGCTATGACTGCTCGTGTCTATTCCAATTGAGTAATTTGCGGGTTATTATTCGCATGTAATCCTGATGACATCGTCAGTTAAATTATTTGGGTATGGTACTGATCAATTAAAATTGACATTTTCACAAACTTAAAAACACACTGTGAATAAAAATATAGGCTGGTAACTGATACAGATGTATTATACGAACAGTTTAGCTGAATCAACTTAATATAACCGTGTTTGATAATGCCACTAAACTTGGTACTTTTCCATCACGCAACGGAGACGCGGATAGTAATACAGGAACTCAGCGTCCGTATGCACTGTATATATTGCACGTGTTTCTCTTGCCCACTCATACCGTTGTACTCTCCAATGGTTGCGCCAACAGCACATCGAAAGCAATGGCAGAAGTTTTTGTGTTGAAAGTATGCGCACACTCGATATTGTGGAGCTGACAAACGGGATCCAGCCGCGCTATTACGACACTCAAACCAACCCCGACGGCGCTGTGCTCAGAAGACTTACGATGGCCATTATTAATCCTTGCGTGTTTTCATCATGTGAAATGAAGAATCACAAACGCCGATTTATGTTCTGTAAGTCTACCGTGTGTATATATATTATGCGCGACGGCTCAAAACAGTGTTGATAATCAACGAGAGGGAGCACCGCCAATATCACAAGATTATTTTCCGGGGCCCCGGACACGTTGCATAGACGTACGAGGCAACCGCTGCACGTGAGAGAATAATCATTTGGGCTTATGTGTGTTTGTCTACTTAATCGACATAGTCAAAATTGACTGCATCATAATAAAGAGAGAGAGAGAGAGGGGAGCTCATAGTCACGAATCAATAATAGAGGCCGCCAATTACATCGTGTTGTAACTATACACCCCTGTGTAAAAAGAAAATAACCGGCCGTTAGTACACGCAGAGCGTCACGTTTCACCTTATGCTTGCATTATCTTGGGAGAGGGTTTATACGTGTGACTTTAGGTGCTCTATTACAAGCCAAGTAGAGAAATGCATGAACTTAAACAAATGCCTTGCTTCTCAATCAAACTTTGTTCATAGTTAACCTTTACATTTTTTAGCGCGGACTATTTTGTTACATTTTACAAGGTAAATTTTCTTGCACTTTGTATGTTTTTTTAAGTTTGCAGCGGTGCTGTTTTAAATTAATTTGAGGATACGCCATTCGTAACACTGCAAAGCTTTTGTTTTCCTGTACGCTTGACCGTCTAGCACAATTATACGCTTTGTTGTGAATGCGTTCTCTCGTTTTGCAATGCACGTCTTCACACAAGAGACAAGTAAATACACAAGAGCACATTACAATGTACACAGTATGCACGCGAGGAGTAAATATCTTGAACATTAACGAGTGGACCGCGAGCTCGCAATTTGGATTGTGTGCATCACGCGGACGGCGTGTTTGGTTTTTGCTGTAAATAAATACGTTGAAAAATATGCTCACATTGAGCCGTGTGCCTGTACATGTGCGTTACGTTACAATTGTCTATGTTCACCTGTCATTACCATTTCAGTACCACGGATTGTCTATATTCACCTATCATTAGCATTTCAGCACCACGGAGAGCGACCTGGGCGAAAATCATTGCACTCACCTTGACATGCGTTCACTCATTCATATATCGGCGTAATGAGTTGATACAGCAGCACATGTTTCATTGAGGAATTTTGTACTTCTATTGCTCCCGTTAATAGACGCTGCTCATTTTAATTTCGCGACGCACGCCCGCCACGCAGGGGTTCGTGACAGGGTTGATGGGTCGCGCAGAGATCACGTGCGTGACAATTTCACGTGCAGCAGCATCGAAGTGCCAGTAGGGGGAAGAACAGAGAAATAGATTTTTGCACCTGTCCCTAGAAATGATCATATTGTGTGCTAAGCAGGGTTGTTCTGGATGACCTGAATTCGGCCCACACGCAAACTACTAAAACAGATTTGTATTGATGTATTATTATTAAACGCCCTAATCAGGGCCATTCTGGAACAGTCTGGAGGCTCAGTTGTGATCAATTGAGTGCGTTGAGTTTTAGGTTTGACGTTGGGGTTAATTGGCATCTCAATCGCGTTATTAACAGCACAGTCACACCATTAACAGGAACAAGTCATTAGAAACCCTATAACAACTAATTGATTCATCGATTATAATCTGATCGTACACTCGCGATACATGCAATGAGTCACACGTGTAAGGAGCTATGTTTTTCCACACGTGTAGAATATATAAACATGTTGCTTGTAGGCGAATTAAACACATGACGCTACAGAGAGAGAGAGAGTAGAGATGCTAACGAGACAGTACAACATTTATCAACATGTAATTCTGACGCCAAACCATACAACCTGTATATTATAGTGGGGGGATTGGATTTCTACGTGCCTCGTCATTACCATAGATGATGTAACTGTGCTGTCGACCTCCAACGTGCTGTCGGTGTATGCCGACAGGACGCGGCTTGATTTACACAGCCCAACTGCGAAATACGCTATATTATATCGCTATATATTTTGTTTTATTTAACCAGGCCCACTGAGCTATAGAGCGCTTTTTCAGAAGCGACCTGGCCACAAATGATAGCTCCACGAAGTGGCTTATCACGTGGACATTTATTGCAGCCAAATACTCTAAACGCGTGACGTTGATTCGAAATGTGGAGGGAAAAACCGGAGAACCCGGAGAAAAATCCACGTCATCACGGGGAGAGACACGCAAACTTCAAATAAACAGCAGGTGCCAGGCTCGGGATCGAACCCACAGACCTTCTGTACACCAGACGAGGTAGTTAACATCTCCTGGCAACCGTGATGATGATGATGAGAGAGAGAGACACGCAAACTCCAAAGGGGCTGTCCATAAATGACGTCACGCGATTTTGGACGATTTTTGACCCCCCCCCCTCGTCACACGGTGTCACAAAAAGTCAGACCCCCCCCTCAAATATGACGTCACAAAGCTCTGCCCCCCCCCCCAAAAAAATGCTTCAAATCGCTTTAAACTATTGTCATTGTAGTGCATATTTAATGTGGCGCTGCACTCTCATGTTGTAGGAGAGCACATTTATGAAAAAGTATATTTAATTAAGTAGAACGTGTTGTCTATATTTATTTAAAGTTGAGCATTTTGATGTGACGTCACATTTCTCAAACCCCCCCTCCTCGTCACACATCGTCACAAACGTCTGACCCCCCCCTAGGTGCTTGACGCCATTTATGGACGGCCCCAAATATACAGCAGGCGCCAGGGTCGGGATCGAACCTACGACCCTGCTGTACACCAAGCGAGGGAGATAACATCTCCTAGCATTGTAGCGTTATCATTGCCAGTCACGTGACAGGAGTAAGTGGGGCTTCGTCCACGGACAAGTGACGTTGCCTCCCGGCCACAAGGTGGCGACCAACCACAGGGGCAGGACTCACAATCCTCGACTGAAGAATGGCTCTGCGGATCGATGGAACTAAGGGGCCGTCCATAAATGACGTCACGCACCTGGGGGGGGGGGGGGGTCAGACATTTGTGACGATGTGTGACGAAGGGGGGGGGGTGGGGGTTTGAGAAATGTGACGTCACATGAAAATGCGCAACTTTAAATAAATATAGACACGTTCTACTTAATTAAATATACTTTTTAATAAATGTGCTCTCCTACAACATGAGAGTGCAGCGCCACATTAAATACGCACTACAATGACAATAGTTTAAAGCGATATATATTTTTGGGGGGGGGGGCAGAGCTTTGTGACGTCATATTTGAGGGGGGTGGTCTGACTTTTTGCGACGTCGTGTGACGAAGTGGGGGGGGGGGGGTCAAAAATCGTCCAAAATCGCGTGACGTCATTTATGGACGGCCCCTAAAACTAACACTCTCAGCTCGTGAGCGTCATGCATGCTTCATATTTTGTGATTTATTTACAGTCGGATTATATTATTTGTACTTTATTGCTACAAAAGGATGGATATAGCATTCAGTGGCAACGCTTTCAACTGCAAACAAGCACTTAAATCATAATAAAAACGTATTTTATTTAAAGTACTGTAAAGTACTATTAAGATGTCTCAGTATTTAATTGCAAATTTAATGCCTCTCTATGCTTCCACGTCAATGCTTCCTGCCCTCATCAACCCGCACTGCCCAGTGAAGTATGGTCAAAGGTTGGCTACGTACGGTGCAAATGAATTTCAACATACATACTACCGCAACCCGAATGTGGAGGGGAGGGGGCATTTGACTATTTACATGACATGCATTTAACTAATGAAGCTCTCATTACTGTAACTGGGCAAGGCCTAAGTTAAATGTACGCACGTAGACAATCGCCCATTCTCGTCTGTTTTACGGGTTCCGGTAAATCACCCGTCAATGACGTGAGACGTGGCTACGAAGTTAACTCAGGTCACTGGGGTCACATGCTGCCAAGACATGTTCTCCTAATTTACTTAATCTCATTTACACACGCACACTCCTCACACCGCCTTCAAACAGACACACGGTGATCTATTTATAGAGGCATTCCACTGATTTCTAATGCCTCTCTTACTTTCTTCCCAATAGCTGATTGAATATTCTGTCAGCGATGGCGCTATATCTTACAGTGTCAAGCGTTAAAAGACGTGATGCAGCACTCTCCGGATTATAGGATGCATTTTCCCTCCTGCATTTTAACGTCGAGGTTGGCGGTGCGTCCTATAATTCGATATGGTCTGCAGGCATGACCAGAGTTTGAGGACGCGTTTTACTTTCCGGGGCTTTCATTTATCCGGAGAATACGGTAAGTGTGTTGAGATTGGTGGTGAGAGACATGCAGATGTTCTCACATAAAACGTGGTTTTCGCTTAAATGTCTCCGTATTCGTATCGTGCGGGGTATCAATCCAGTACGGCAGATGTGGTCATCCTCTGCGCAATTCATTGACACGCGACAAACACAGACAACCGTCCATTCTCTATGCGCGAGTTAATTAATTCATTATCACGCAATTGCAGCATGTTTACAAAACAATCAAACGAGTTCAAGGGAGTCAACGTGTGGCCACATTTAGCCGGGCCCCATGTCCGCCCTGGCGCGAGCAGAGCCCTGGGGCCCCAAAATGCTTTCAGCGAAAGAGGCCACGTGGCTTCTCAAACGCGTCTCATTTCCATCGCCACATACACACGCACAGTGAAGCGGACGAGGGGCATGATGACTGGTAATGGCATATAGCTTTGACCTCACTGTCGAACCCCCTCGCCCCCCCCACCACCACCCACTCGTTGACACCAAAGTGCCGTGTGGGTTTATGGAACGGTGCAAGGTTGCAGAACGGGATAGAGGGCCAAGGGTATTGGGGAACATTGTGATTGCGTCAAGTGTTAAAAGCGCCCATCTCAGCTTTCTAACCGACACGACCTTGTGAACCAGCAGAAAGATAATCGGCACAACGTTATAAGAATATGTTTTTACCCTTTCTGGCTATAAAACATTTGTTCAAATGTTAAACACCAAACAGAAACATTTTTCAAGGAGTCATGTCTGCATTAACCACACATACTTGTTGGTGAACATGCAAACAAACATGCTCTGGTAGGATATGATGCATTGTCTTTGAAACTCATTGGTTTATACCAGAGATAACTTTATTTAGAGCCTAGTCTCAAACAGTGTTAGACCAGAGGACGCCAAAACGCGAACAGCCTTTTGGTACTGGCAAGGCAGGTCCAATGATGCAACACAATGTTGTTATACATTCCACGCAATGCGTGTTTTATTGGCCGGCACGTGCTTCGCGATAGCATAAACAACAACAAAGTATATTCCGAGTCCCGAGGATTACCCATGTGCCCCCTGGCTACTCTTAGCTGTCATGTGTGCCGCATGTTTAAATTGTGGTTTCAAGAAGTGGGCCCATCTCACCACTGTTCACGCTGTTATGACAGCTGTAAATGCATGGTGTTAAAGTATACTACTTACATTGGGATAAACAATGCAGCAATTCAGCGTGTCAATAATATGTTTTTCGTGCGTTTTTTTTTTAAACTAGCTCTTTTGAAAATCGGGACTCAAGAGACATATGCAAAACGCTTTTGCCAATCCACTGTGGTATGTATGTTGAACTTCTTTTTTTTTTACCGTAGGTTGCCAACCGTGCAAATCAGAGGTACGAATGAGGGAATATCCACACCGCACGGGTCAAGGGGCGGGAGTTATTTGACCATACTTCACCACGCTGGTCACTGCGGGTTGGTGAAGGCGAGGAGCACATGCCGATGTATAACAATCCATTTGCATGCACTGCCCCCCTCTGCTAAGAACGTAGCCATGCAGCAGCCTTCGACACCTGTCTAATGCACGTTGGTCGTCCATCCAAGCAATATCCATGCTCAACGCTGCCGAGTTACTGAGATATGATGAGATCAGGTGCATTCTGGGTGATTTGGTCACAGGCAGACTGAAGGCATAGGTTGTATTATATTGGGTGCATCAAGTAGGCATGCACTGCCTGATATATACACACGCATGTGTGCATACATTCCCCATTTAGGGTATGTGCTGGTGGGTGAAATGCTATTAGTGGACACCTGTTAAGGTCAACTTTGTACAGCTTTCTAACCGAAATAATCTGAAAAAATAGTGTCCGTACAAAATGGTTTATTAATACAATCTAAACAGTATTTCAGATTAATGTGACTGATTGATTATTATTGTGGTTTATATGTGCAGCCGGTTGTCGATTCACTGCTGAATGAAGGTCGCTCTGCACCACGTTTGGAATGGGGATGATTTAACCATACTTCACCATGCTGATCAGCGTGCGTTGGTCAGGGGGGTGGGGGCGAATTGCAGGACTGGTTCTGGCATCACTCACCACTCATATCAGCCGTGGCTGGGAATTAAACTTAGGCCTGTGGGTGCATAAGCGCAGTGAACTTGCCACTTAAGTCACCGTTCCTGCCCGACACATTAATTTTACATAAATGTGTTGCCGTCTACGACTTCCAGGTAAACACGCATT